CCCTATGTTTCCATTCTTATATGTAAATGTACCCATATTAACATCAAATTGTATCTTTTTTTAAAGAATTATTTTATAGAACTTTATTTTATGTATTTATTTATTTATTTTAATTTGACCAGAGAAGAACAGAGTAAGAGAGAGAGAGAGGGAACGTGAGAAAGCAAGCCGTTGGGTCCAGGACTTGAACTATGATCAGCTGTATGAGAGTCCAGCACTCCTGACCAACACACCACCTGCCGGCCTCCACATTGTATCTTAATTGTGTATACTGTACTGTAAGCCTAATTAAGACTGGGAAAACATCATTCATCTTTGTGAGAAATAGTATCCTGCATTATTATAAATTTATAACTGCCAGTTAATTGATAAATACCTTCAGATGCTTGAAAATAGCCACCAGGTATCCCCTGGTTCTTGGTTTCCTTCAGGGCAACAATACTTTTGTTCCTTATAATGTTTTTGCATAAGAATTATTTTCCCTGTTTTTTAGATAAAGTTCTTTCTTCTTTTTTAAAGTTTATTTTGAGAGAGAGAGAAATTCAAAAACAAGCACCTGAACAGGGCCTCATATTGCCATTTTCACTTCTAAACATATTCCAGTCAGCGAGAATCATGAGACATGCTTCCACCTGGCATGTGCAGGTCTACTTGGGAACCAGACCCAAATCTTCCTTGCAGAGTGTTGTGTGTCCACGGCACCACCAAAGCCAGGTCAGAATTATGTCATTTTCTTAATAACCAAATCTACCAGCTTACTTGTCTCTCTCTCCATATACTCTACTTTTCCTCCTACAACAAAGAAAGATGTGTCTTTCCTCCTAAGGGAAGCACCTTGACTATGTTCCTTCTCTTTTCTCCTACAAGGATTTTAGATAGATTTTTCTTCTGCCCATATTCAACAGCATCAATTTCTCCTTCTCCCCCTACTTTGTTACCCCTATTCACATATTAGTATGCTTTAATATCAACATATTTTCCTTTTTCTTTTTCTTTTTTTTTTGGAGAGGTTTTTGCTGTAGGGCACATGCACTTGCCAGAGAGAGACAGAGAGCTAGAAAGCGAGAAATCACCCCCAGGCGGGGGATAGCCATGCTGCAATGATGAGGTTGGTATGTATTGCTTTCTTGGCTTCTACTCCAGAGCTATTTTCATTTTTTTCCTTTTTATTTCTTTCAAATTTTTGCCAGAGGAAGTGTGTACTCGCCAGACAGATATGGGGTTGGGGGAGAAAGCACCCCCCAATGGGGTGTGGTCATGCTGCCATCCCTTCTCCTTTTCTTCCTTCTGTAGGGATTTTTGGGGACTCACACACATGTACCTACCATGGTTTCAAGCTACATGGACCAGGACTTAAGCTATGTGATTGACCATGCAGAATCCAACTCCCTTAACTACCAGGCTATGGGCTGGACTTCTGACTCTTTTTCTGTTATTCCATAGAGCTTTTTAATTTTCTTTCCTCTGATTTAGCTCAATTCATGTCATTATGTGTCCACAAACAGACATTGCCTGTCAGTAGTAGAGATAATGCTTGGGCCGATACAGCAATCTCCTCCATCTCTTCAACCTCACATTTATTTTCTAATTCTGAGGAGATTTCAAAAGTGAGGTATAAGTGCCATCCTCTTTTTTTTTAAAAAAGAATTATTTTATTTAACTTTATTTATTTATTTATTTTAATTTGACCATAGAGGGACAGAGAGCGAAAGAGAAAGAGAAGGAAAGTGAGAAAGCAAGCCTCCAGGTCTGGGACTCGAACCACAGTCGGCTATGTGGGAGTCCAGCGCCCTTCCTCTTTTATGAGAGACTTTGTTAGAAGCAGAGTGAGAGAGAACCTAGATTCTGTAAACCATAATGCAGTGGTCTTTCCAGTAGAAAGCAAAGTCCCCACATGGCTGCCTTACCCGAATGAATGTCTGAGAATTCCCACGAACCACAGGGTTTGGTGTCAATTTACCTGCCAAAGTGAAAGTCAGTGCTTGGGCTGATTCAGCTTTTTCTTCATCACTGCTTTCTTCACTTTCATCTTCAGATTCTGACATGAAATGAACAAAAAGTCGAGGATTAGTACTTTATTCTACAGGTCATTTAAAAAAATGAAAATTGACAGGTGTCTTAGGTCTTTACAGGGATCCCTTCTCAAAACAATAGAAATGTAAGAGTTTTCCATTGTGATCTGGGTTTATGAGGTTACCTGTCGATGAGGATGACGTAGAAGTTTTCTCAGATTCAGAATCTTCGTATTCAGGAAGAGACTCTGAAATAACATCAAAAACAGTTTGGTAGCAGCACTAAGTTTGCAGTCTACAGACTAAACCTTTATTCTTGTTCCATTAGTCAGTGACCATGCTTAGCAGAAGGTTGCTCTGAAGCATGCAGATTTGTCCTATTCTCTCAGCTCTAAGTTTGTTTTAGACAACTATAGCCTTCTGCCAAGCAAAAAGGCAGGCAGTGTTTCTATCTAATCTATCTAATGAAAATCTTCAATAAGATTTTTCTGCAAGAGCATTTTCCATTCTGAGGAAGGAACATTTCTGTATAAAAGTTATTTAACAATGAGAAGAAGAATTCTAGAGAGATATTCTCAATATTGAGGATATTGCCATTTATGTATTATAGTCTCTAGAGCAGGAGTCAGCCAGCTGTGGTCTGTAGGCTAACCTTGACCTTACACCTTTTGCAAATAAAGTTTTATTGGAACACATCCACACTCATTGTGTCCTTATTGTCTATTGCTGCTTTCTCCCCCAATAGCAGAATTGAGTTGTGACAGAAACCATATGGTCCACAGAGCTTAAGCTATTTACTGTCTTTCAGAAAAAACATGTGCTGACCCCTGTTCTAGAAAGAGAAACAGTGGTATTTCACTCTCAAATCATGATGTGATTCTTTTACCTAGTAGAAATCTAGATTCTAAGACATTTCTTCCCAGGGCTAAACCATAACTAAGCAGAAGATAGTAGATATTTCCTTATTAAATATTTTATATCAGGAAATGACTCTATACTTCATACTATAGTGAATAAGTCAATTTAATGGAGCCATTGAAGGTGCTAATCAAAGAAAAAAAGAACATGTTCAGCACTGTAAAAGTGATTGGGGTAGATCCAGGGTATTTTGTGTTATGAAATAAGTCAGACAAAGAAGATCTTAGAATGAGCGTATTTCATTGTTCACTTGCAAAAAAGAGAAAAAGAACAGAAACTGCACAAGGACAGGAGAGAAAGAATACATAACTAGCTTCTTGGCCGGACATACTCACTTAAACTCAACTGTTTCTTGGTATTGCAGAGGCGGCTCATAAAGTTTTTGCGTGCCTTTTCAGTTTTCTCAGCGATATTTTCAACAAGGTTTCCAGTGCTATGCACAATGAGGTTCACACCTCTTCCTAATCTGTATAAATCATCTCTGTTAAACACATCGTCGCTCATGAAGTCATCAAAAATGCCATCAACCGCGTTCCTGACAATCAACTTCACCTTATTGACTGGATCATCTTGGCCTGGTCCCTTCCCTGTGAGAATGATGAGATATTACATATGGACAGAAGCTTAGATATCTGGTTCGAGGCCAGTGATTCTCAAATTCCAAGTTGTGTAAGAACCACCTGAATATCAAGTGGAACTCCAGTCCCCAAAAATGTATCTTAAGAAAAAATTGTAAAATTTACTTTATTTTGGGGACAGCAGGTGGCATGGTGGTTAAGGCTCTGAATCTCACATGGCTGACAGCACTGTTCAAGTCTTGGATCTGGTGGCTTAAAAAATCAAGCCAGGCACATGTGCATGTGTACTCCAAATTCCAAGGATACAGGAGGAGAAGTGATTGCAGTGTGGCCAACCACCTTTGGTTGGGGTGATTTCTTACTTTTCCTTTCTTTCTCTCTGGTGAACACATATGCCCTACTGCAAAATGAACAAAATAAATAAATAATTGAAAAATAAATTATTATTAAAACTTAAATATAAAATTATTTTTATTTAGAGTCCATCACTGTATATCTGGATAGCACACAATATGGTTTATTTCTTCCATGAGTGAGAGAGGCAGTGAGAAAGAACCCACAACAGTATCTTGACACTGCAATCCATCCCCAGTCTGAGCCACATCATGGCACCCAAACCTGGTATACTGAGGGAGGTCATAAGACCTTGCCAAATGTGTGGGTCAGCTCCCTCAGAGTGTCATGTTTTACCACTGTATGCCCACCCAGCTCCATTCCTGCAAATTCTGATTTTTTTTTTTTTTAGGTTATTGCACTTGCAAAAGATAGAGAGGGAAGGTGAGAAATCATCTCCCAGGAGGGATGGCCACATTGCATCCCTTCTCCTCCATTCCTCTCTTGGGATTTTGGACACACACACACACACACACACCCAGTGTGATTTTCAAAGTGTCAGGTCCAGAATTCAGACTATGGTATGGGACTCGAACCGTGGTCAAACATGTGGGAATCTAGCACCTTAAACACCATGCTGACTGCTGACCTCACAAATTCTGATTTGAAGGTCAGAAGAAGGTTCATGAATTTTCCTTTCATATTGTTTCTGAGGTGATGGCTTATCAACCTAAAAAAAAAAAAAAAAGGCTGTGGCATAATAAGTGAGGTAAAAGTAGTTTATCTAAGCCAGGGCTTAGGATGCATCACTCAGATTTCAGTTTCAGGTTTCTCTTTTGATCAAAATGGTAACCAAGAAAGCTGGATAATGTAATAAAGAGAGGGCCCAGCAGGTGGTGTGGTGGTTAAGGACACGACTGCCACGTGGTTGACCACGATTCGGGGTCCTGGACCCAGTGGTTTAATTTCTCACTTCCTCTCTCTCTCTCTGGTCAAATTAAATAAATTAATAAAAGTTAAATTAGAAGTATAAATATATAATAAAGAGAACTGGCAGAAGAGGGAAGGTTTCAAGTTCTTAAATGTTTACATTGGTTCATATAAACAATAGACTACTGATCGTCTACACTTATTTTTTACATCACAAATTCAAAAACATTTGGAAGAAGAAAGGGCAGGGTCACACTGTGAAATCTCTAATCCCTTCATAGCATTGCAGCTTCTTTACTGTCAACTAAAACATGCCTTTTGGGGTAATAACCCTGATGGGTGTGGGGTGTAACCAAAGTCTCAAGCTTATGCTTTCAAAAGGCTTTAAGATATGGGACCAGCAGTTAGCGTAATGGCTATGTCATGTCGCTGGACTCCCACGTAGTTGACAGCAGTTCCCCTCCCAGACGTGGTGGCTTAAAACTCACGCTGGGCGCGTGTGCGTGCGTTGCCCAAGATCCCGAGAGGAAAATGGAGGAGAAGGGATTGAGGCGTGGCCATCCCCCCTGGGGGGGTGATTTCTCTCTCTCTCTGTCTGCCTGGTGAACACACGCGCCCTATAGCAAAAACCTCTGTAAAAAAAAAAAAAAAAGATTCAAAAGGATCTCTTACACCACAGTCTTCTCTGGGCTGTTTTTCTTTCACATGGCAAAGCTGCTGATCTAAGACCACATTTAGAATAAAATTTATTTTGTTCAGCCCTTTATTTTATAGATGGGGAAACTGAGGTTCAAAAAAGTAGAGCGACCATCTAAGGAACTTAGAGTTCACTGACTCAGGCCAATATTTTTTACCCTTACTTCTATGAGTTTCTTTCACTTTCATCAGTAACTAAGGAAAAAGACATTATATTAAAGATGCATTGCAATAAAATATAGACTCATCAAATCTGTAAAATGATACATTTTTTCAAGGCTAGCACTGTAATAGGAAAAAGCAAACAATTATACATCCTGTTTTTTGCTTTACTTTATTCTTTCTTACAATTTAGAGGTTAACTGATGTTTGTAGCTTCTGCAAATAATGTACTCTATAACTATTGTGACAAATAAGGTCATAAATAAGCCTGTTTGCTTAGAAGAGGAAACTTAAGTCACATTCTTTAGGCAGTAGTCACAGAATGCAACCAGATCCAGGCATTCCAGGGGAGAAATCTTAAAGAGATAGGAATGATTGCTCAAAGGACACAGTGTAAGAATGTAACAAGTTAATTTGATGGAATCATAGTAATCTTGTCATTAACGGAATACTCATGATTGTTTAGATTGTTTTGTTCAGCATGTAGCTGGAAGAAAATAAATTGTAGCTTCCCTTAATCTGTCAATGTATGTCACAAATCTGAGTTAACAGATTCTATATCTCCATAAGAACAGAATGGGTCCTAAATGTCCTGTGAAAGGAAAAGGGACCCAGAACAATTTTGGGAAAATCCTGAGAATAGGAGTAACATTGAACTAGCTAGATTGACATTACAGACAATAATGGATAAATGAGAGGTGTAATGATATATATAACATGCTTTTGGGAATTAGTTGGGAGCTTCTTAGCTCTCAGCTACTCCCTGTGCTCCAACACAGCTAAATACACTCCCTTTCTCCCTCCTTGCTTTGCCCCTCACTTACTCACAGAAACAGCTCCCAGACTGTAGCCAACAACAGCAGGGAGGCCCTGTGACAGGGATAAAAGGCACAACAGTAGCACAAACACACTCACAGGCAAACATACCACACTCGATGTAGCTGGTGACTTGCTGCTCTAAATAAAAGGACACAGAGAGCAGAGAAATGGAGGAAATGCAAGTTACTTTGTTCACTGCACTTTGTGCCTTCTCACCCCAACGACAGAGTACTTAGCCACCAGGAGAGAATATCAGGTGAGTGCAAGTCAAAAGAAAAGCCTAAAATCACAGGAAAATCTACAATATAGATCCAGAGTTTTCACATGTTGCTTTCTTTCCTGAAGCTGTAACTACTAACTGAGAAACTGTTAGCGTGCTCACTGCCTCCCCCAGCTCCCATCTCTCCCTCCAGCTCCCATCCCTCCCTCCATCCCCAGAGTGAAATAGTCATGTGTGGTGACACGTGCCCCCTCCATGCCCTCCTTCTTTTCCCCCTTGAGCTGCTAAAGTCCCTTAAAACACTGCCATACAGAAGAAAGGAACTGGAGCCACTCACCAGCCATGGCTGCTCTAGCTTCCTGGGCAAGAAAAAGTCTGAAACTGAAAGTAGTCTCATTAGCTTCTTCCTTTCCTCACAGCCAACCAGCTATTGGTATTGTCTAAATGGGACATTCTACGCTCTCCCATCCTCCCTTTCCTGTAGACTACTGTGATATCTAACTTCTTTCTTTTGGAAAACAGGAAGCAAAACGACTTTTATTCTCTTTGATATAAAAATTATCAAAATGAAAATATACACACATGGAAACATAGGTCTTTGCATTTGGTTTCCACTCTGTTTCCTTAACAGTCTTAATCAATCAGGTTAAATAAACTCCTATTTGTTTTTGCACATATAGGAGCTTCTAAAGGGCTAGCAAGCCTCCCTTTAAGTAAGCCTGTTCCTCACTGCAGTGTAAATGGGAAGTTTGGAGGGGATAGAAAGGCTGACTGGGAACAGCTAAGGGGAAGGCTCCTGTCCCCCCCCTTTTTTTTTTAAGAGGTTTTTACACTAGGGCCTGTGTGCTCAACAGAGAGACAGACAGACAGACAGACAGACAGACTGACTGACAGTGAAAGGGAAAGGGGCGATGGTCATGCTGCAGTCGTTTCTCTTCTATTCTCCTCATGGGGTATTGGACGTGCACACACATGCACCCAGAAAGATTTTGAAGCCACCAGGTTAAGGACTCGAACTGCAGTTTGCCATGTGGAAATCCAGCAAGATGACTGCTATACCATCTGCTGGCCCTTCCTATCACTTTTCTAAAAACTTAGATGAGATGTCTCTTTTCTTTCTCTCTCCAGAGCAGCTCATTTTTCTATTCTGGGTATTGTTTACACGTGAGACCCACGTATGTACTTTTGTTTGCTTAATACACAGGGGACACTTTTACTTAAAAAAAAAAACTAAATTATGGATATATTTGCTATTAAATCAAACCATAGGAGAGTTTATACAATGGAAAAGGATCATCTACCTTCTTAAATACCACACTACAAAGCAACTAAAATTAATGCTTAAGTTGCAACATTCTGAACTTTTGTCCTGTTCTTTTATAAAACACTTCATACAATATTAATTTCATGGTGTCCCCAATCATGGGCCTCCTTATCTTCATGCCCTTTCTTTGCCTAAGCTGTGACCTGGCCTCTGGCGTGTCTTTGGCCAACATGATGCAGTCAAGGGATCTGGTGCAGCTCTGAGCCCAGGTTTTAAGAAGCCCTATGCACATCTTCCTTTTGGACACCTAAACTTCCATGTGAATGGATACATATTTCTAGAGGATAAGAGACATCAGATGGAGGAGGGCCGGTTGGCTTATTCAAGGTCACCCTAGACCAACCTCCAGCTGGATGTTCTGCAAGCACACGGGAGATCCCAGCCTTGTCAGCAGACACCTGGCTGTGAGCGGATGTTCTGACACACGGATGACCCCAAAACAGGCAATACCACCAGCTGACTGGTCACCTCATGAACAATAGTACATTCTTCTTGTTTTTAGTCACTGAGTTTGGGGTGGCTCATTACTATATAATAAGTAACTGATAGACACATATTTACCTATAGCATTTTTTGTTACAGTGCTGGTATCATAAAATCATAGTATCAATAATTTGCTTTTTTAAACATAACTATGTATGACAAACATTAACTAAACATTAAAAGCTATGTGATTTGGCGGGGCCAGCAGACATTGTAGTGGTTACATTACTGGACTCTCACATGCCTAGCTGTGGGTCAAGTACCAGATCGGATGGCTTAAAATTCATGCCTGGGAGACCAGCAGTTAGTGTAATGGCTATGTCACTGGACTCCCATGTAGTCTACCGCAGTTCTAGTCCTGGACCCGGTGGCTTAGACTCATGCCAGGCGCATGTGCGTGCATACACAGGATCCTGAGAGGAGAATGGAGGAGAAGGGATTGCAGCGTGGGAGTGATTTCTTGCTTTCTGTCCCTCTGTCTCTGTCTGTCTCTCTGGTGAGTGCACATGCCCTACAGCAAAAACAACTAAAAAAAAAATAACACCCTGGCATGTGTGCATGGGTGCCTAAGATCCTGGGAGGAAAATAGAAGAGAAGGGATTGTGTTGTGGTCATCTCCCCTGGGAGGTGATTTCTTACTTTCCCTCTCACTGTCTCTGTCTCTTTCTTGTAAGCACATGTGTACTAAGGCAAAACCCTCTAAAACTAAAATAAAAACATGTGATTTTTTTGATATAGTTGTAAATGTGCTACTAGATTATAATTTTAAAACGTTTCGTCAAATTAATGCATATGTAGGAAACTAACTGTGTAGTAATGAAAGACATATAATTAAAACCATATTTTTCATGGCCTACCTCCTAGTCTAGAGGTTATGAAAGCTGCACTCCCCCATAGTCAACTGTGCTTCAAATCCTGAACCCCACAAAATCTTGGGTGTATATGTGTGTATGTCCTAGTGGAGTAGCAAGCATTGAAATGTGACTATACCCCATTGAGAGAGTGCTTTCTCCCTCTCTATCTGTCTCTCTCTCTCTCTCTTTCTCTCTTTCTCTCAGGCATGTAACTTTTGGCAATTGAAAAAAAGTATATCCTCCAATACTCTTCCTACCACCTCAGTCCCACATCCTAGATGTAAATTCCCTAAATTATTTTGTTTTTGTTTTTTGGTGGTAATTTTCAGACTCATGGTTACATGCCTTTTTATCCCTCTATGTCCTGATATTAGATGATGAAAACAACGCTGTTGACTGCCTTGTGAAAAATAAAGTTGTAGGTCACTTTCACTGCTTCATCTCTATCCTTTTCTCCTGTTCAGTGACATCACGATTTTGATTTTCTTGATTAATTTTGAGACTAGTTTAATTTTATCAGTATGTGAATTGATGATAGGCATACAATCAATTTTATCTTTTCTCTCCTCAAATTATACAATTTTCTTTATATTTTATTGTTGTAAAATATTGACTATCTTAACCACATGTAAGTTGAAGGGGGGCATTCAAAAAATACATGGAAAATAATGCCATGAAAAACACTGTGCATAAATTTCAATTTTTTTTGCCACTATAAGAAGAATTATACTTTATCAAGGAACTTTTGAAGTATCCTCATGCATTCCAATGGTATTAAATGCATTCCTCACATTGTGAAATCATCACCACCATAAAATCTTCAGAACTCTTCTCATATTGTAAAACTGAAACTCTGCACGCTATTGCTTTCCCTCAGCCCATGTAGGCCACCATTCTATTTTTGTCTCAGTGATTTTGACTGCTCTATGCACCTCACATAAATGCAACCACACAGTATTTGTTTTTTTGTAACTGGCTTAATTTCCCTAGCCTAATGTCCTCAAGTTTCATCCATGTTGTGTGTATGTTAGAATCCCTTTCCTTAAAAAAAATAAAATCCATTCATTCCTATCTTTCATGAGAGAGAAAGAGAGTGAGAGACAAAGTGATAAGCACCCCGATGAAGTCCTCATGTTGTGATCAATGCCCACATTCCGTCCAGTTCAAGAGATGCATGTACACCTGGGATGACCAGAGTGGTTTGTGATCTGAGGTCTCAAGATCTTTTCCATGTGGGTCCAGTTGCACTTCCACTGTGCCATTCCCTGTCCCCCCTTCCCTTCTAAGGCTGAATAACATTTCATTCTATGCACACATCACATTTTTATATCCATCTGTTGATGGACACTTATCTTGGTTCCATGTCTGAATGATTGTGAATGATGCAGCTCTAAACATGGATGTACACATATCGCTGTGCAGCCCTGCTTTTAGTACTTTTGGCTAAATATGTCTAAGTGTAATTACTTTATCATATGGTAACTATTTTTTTTGCACAAGGGAGCATATGCATGCATGGATGGAGAGAAACCGAAAGCAACCCCAATGAGGCCCATTTATAGTAGTGTTTTTTTTTACCTCCATTTCTCCTTTTTGTCAGGACCTGGTCACACATGCATGTGCACTCCACGTTTTTCAGGCCACTGGGACCAAGATTTGAACTACAGTCAGTCATGTGGGATCTGGCTCCCTCTGTACTGTGTTTAATTGCTGTGCTGTGGGACCAGCCCAGTAATTTTTATAGCCACCATACTGCTTTCTACTGTGACAATACCATTTTACATTGTCAGTAATAGTGCATAAGGATTCTAATTTCTCCACATTCCCAAGGTCAATTGTTATTTTCTGTGTATGTGTGTGTGTGTGTGTGTGTGTGTGTGTGTGCGTATTCTGTTTTGATTGTAACCTTCTGTATGGGCTTGAAGTGATATCTCATTGGAGTTTTAGGCTCCACCTCCAAAAGTGGGAAACACTTATTTCACTTGGTGAAGTGCAGATATAATATGAGCTATAAAGCTGGACAATCCAGTTAGATTCTTCCACTTCATTTCCACTCAGCCACCATTTTAAATAAAATTATATTCTCTATTAGAGAAACCAAAAGGACACAGTTCATTTGTTTTCATTTTACTGAAAAGGTTAAATATGCATTCTATACTGACAAAGGCACTTCTTGATAAAAGAGGACTGGACTGCCTGTATTTTCCTGCAGAAAAGAGAAAGAACAGAAGGTCAGGATGGTTATCCCTGGCGGTCTTCATCCCTTCTTCAGCACAATGCTCTTCCCATCTTCTTCCCTGTGCTTTTGACACTGTCCTTGACTTCTGGGACCCATGTAATTTACTCACCAAAATTACTCAGAGAGATCTTTGGAAAACCTATTCTTTCATGTCACTTCTCTGCCCCAAAGCACTTGGGGGTTTTCTATTTCATTCATAATAAAAATTTTAAGATATGCCATGTAATAACAAAGGCCCATAAGACCAGTCTTCTCATCATTTCTTTTTTTTTTCTTTTTTTTGGAGAGGTTTTTGCTATAGGACTCATGCGCTCACCAGCCAGACAGAGAGAGACAGAGAGATAGAAATTTAGAAATCCCCCCCCAGAGGGAATGGCCATGCCGCAATCCCTTCTCCTCCATTCTCCTCTCGGGATCTTGGGCACGCATGCACATGCGCCCGGCGTGAGTTTAAGCCACCGGGTCCGGGACTCGAACCACGGTTGACTACGTGGGAGTCCAGCAACATAGCC